GTGTCTGGTCCCCTAAGGGCCCGAGGGAGCTTCCTCCAACCTGGCCTGCCCCTCTCTATAAAGAGGCTCTGCGAGGGGGGAGGAAAGTGCTCCCGTTAGCAATCAAGCCTTCTCTGCCGCTCTCCCGTTATTGTCCTCATCTTGCTCCTGTTGCTCTTTCCAGACCGGGGCCTTTGCTGGTGCCCCACCCACCCACTCACTCCCCGCATGCATGCAGGAAACTTTCTTCTCTTTGCCTGCCTCAGTCTTCTCCAAGCACCAGGCCAGAGAGGCCTCCCAGCACAGAGCCAGCAGTCTCCGAGTGGACTTTCCCGTTAGCCTGGAAGCATTGTTGCTCGTCCCTCCTGAGCAGCTCAGAAAGCCCCCTGCAAGCAGGGAGTGGGGTCAGGAGAGCTGCACTGGAGGGCGGAGGGCCTCCTGGAGGACCCCACCTCACCTCATGGTGCACGGGAGTGGGGGGGGAGGGGTGGGGGGGGAGTGAGGCCTTGAAAGTTGCTTTGGGGAGCTGGAGCAATAGCACAGCGGGTAGGGCATTTGCCTTGCATGTGGCCGACCCGGGTTCAATCCCCGGCATCCCATATGGTTCCCCAAGCACCGCCAGGAGTAATTCCTGAGTGCAAAGCCAGGAGTGAACCCTGAGCATCGCCGGGCATGACTCAAAAAGCAAAAAAAAAAAAAAAAAGGTTGCTTTGGGCCTAGGTTTGATTCCTGGTGTGTGTCGTGCTCAGTCTCCGACTCCCAGGCAAGAATTTGGCTAGACCAGGGTCCAGATTGGAACTTTGGAAGATTTTTATTACTTATTTCTCAGGGAGTGCTGAGAGGAAATCATGTACCTCAGCAACCGTAAGGGGGGCTGGGTGGGTTGGGGCAGCCCTGTGCTTCTCTAGTTGACTGGGTACAGACGTTGCCCCAAAGAACCTTGTTGGGGTGATGGGAGATCAGGAAACAGGAGGGCCAGCTCCTCTAGGGAAGGGCTCTTTCCAGGTTCTGAAAGGTCTGCGTTCTTAAAGTGTCGACAACTGTGTGGGTGTCTTCAGTGTTGAATCTGCAGACGGGGTGAGGACCATGCAAAGCTAAGTCCTTCTCATGGTCGACCCAGGCTCCCAGAGCACAAAGGAGTCTCATCCAGTATAAAAGCACCCATTTCTCAGTGCCTCTGACATAAAACGGGTGCTTTCATGCCGGGTGATACAAGTAGAGAGGCTTGCAGAGTCAAGGGACCCGAAAAGTACCTTTGAGTTGTAACCAAATCATTTCAGTCACCTTCCTGAGTAATCTCCAATCTAGGAGAGCCGAGAATCGGGTGACTCATTCAGCCCAGGAGGGCACCCCCAAACTGTTCAGCAGAGGAAGGTGGGGCCACTGGAGCTCACCTCTCTCCCCCCTGACATCTAAGCCTTATCCTCAGACCCACAGCACAGGGCCCAAGTACGAAGAGCGCTCAGAGTCTGTCAGGCACTGAGATGACAAGACACTTCCCAGCTATTAACTCATGTGGTCTTCACCCCATCCCTTGGACCCGCAAGGCGAGACTGAGACCCAGAATAAGTGGCCTACTTGTGGCCCCCTGGCCAGTGTAAAGCCTGTGACACTCCCGACCCTTCTTTCCTTGTCATCCCTGATGCTTTGCTTTCCAGTTACACTGTGGGACTTGGGGCTCCCTGGTGACCTTCTGAGGTGAGTTCTGAGGTGACTCACTCTGAGGGGAACTTGTTTAGAATTCAGATGTCAGAAAGGAAGTGCTGGAACCAACAGGATGAAAACTGGCTTTTCTCAAGTGCCTACTTTTGAAAAGGCTGATGCTAAGCCCCTATCTCTAGCTCAACCCCCCAATCCTGGAAACTCAGGCTAGTTTTTTTCCCCCTGTCCCAGAGCATTATTCCCAGGGGTGGGGGTATTCCCCATCTGCCGGTGCTGTGGGGCCCATGTGAGCCAAAGGCTGTGCATTTGCCTTAAAACTAATGTGGACCCCTGCCGGGGTGTGTTGGAATCTCCACAGACTCACTGCCGTGCCTGCTAGACTGAGGTTTCTTGGAATAAAAGATGGAAAACTTGGCCCCTTTGTCCATGTTCTTCACTGGGAGCTGTGGCTGCTCCAGGTGCCCGGCATCAGCCTTGCTTCTTGCCTGTTCCCTCTGACATCCTTATGGCCGGGCCAGACACGGGGCCACGAGGAAATGGGAACTGGTGTGTGTGCGTGCGTGTTTGTGCGTGTGTGTGTATGTGTGTGTGAGGCTTGGGGAGGGGGCGCACAGCTGCTGAGGGTGGCTGAGCTCTTGATTCGGAGGTGATGCCCTGCCCGTCACTGTTTCCGTCCAGGAGTCTGAGGCCACACTGGTCCTCACTGCCATCAGAGCTGTGACGCATATTTGCCTCTGGCATCAGGGCTGCCCTGTCTGCAGTCCACACCGGCTGGGGAGCAGCGGCCTTGTGGGGGCACTGCCTAGCAGATAGCACATGGTGTTGCACTCCCCTCGGTCTGCTGTGGAAGCCTTGGTTTAAGAAGAGGAAGAAGTGTCCAGGTCCAAGTCTGCCATGTCCTGCTGGGGATCCTCCTGGGGTCCCCATTGCCTATAGAGCCAAGTCCATGCACGGATCCTAATCTCTTCCCTGCTCCCGGGTTTCCTGGCCACACGGCCTGTGCCTTGTGGTAAACCTCAGTGGGTCAGATTTGTGGGGCACAGTGGTGAAAGGTGCCCTTGCCTGATATGATCACTCCTTTGAGGGACCCCGCGTGACATTAGTTCACCTGGCAGGTTGTGCAGTGGGGTGGTGGGAGGAGGCAGGGGTGTGTTTTGAATTCACCTGCCTGGTCCACAAGAGTCTGAGGAGCGCTTAGCCCTCAGAGTGGCCTTGGATGACAGCTGCCACTGGCCACATGTGGCCGCTGTGTGGCCCACACGGATAGACCAGCATGGGCTGGCCTTTTCTCCCTCGCCCCACTCACACAGTCCTCTAGCCAAAGGGCATGTCCTTTGAGCTGTCCAGTGATCTCGGGGCGCTTCCAACTCTGAGCCCCCCCGATCTTCTGGGTCCAGGGCTGGTGGTCGCTGACGGGGCCCTTGAGAAACTGCCTGCTGCCCAGCGCAGCTTCTCTGCTGGAGTCCCACACCCAGTGCCCACGTCTGGACACACAGCCTCCCCCTACACCATGTCTCTGCCCACCACCTAGTCTGATACTGTCTTAAATGGGACCTGTGCTGCTCTAGGAAAAAGGTGATGGAGCAGTGTTTGGGGTTGGTTTATTCTGTTGGTTTTGGGGGGGGCAACAAATGATACTTAGGGGTTAATGCTGGTACTGCACTTAGGAATCACTCCTGGTGGTACTTGGGGGACTATATGGGTTGCCGGGGATTGAATCTAGGTCAGCCACGTGCAAGTCAAGCACCTTACCGGCTGCTCTAGCGGTTGCTCCTCCCTCGCATATAGGTTTTATCAGCCAAGATCAGCTTTTGGGGGAAATGAGTCAACACTGGCCAGCAATGGCTCACAGCAGTTCTTGGCGCCCCAGGTTTATGGACCCTCTGTAGATGAGTCCAATCCAGGATGCCCACCCATGCCACTCTGGGGAGTCAGGAGACCCACCTGGGAATCCACCCTATACTCCCAGCTCAACTTCAAAGGCTTACTTGTGCATCTCAAGAGAGACACACAGACTGTAAGGAAAATACAGGGCCTGGCAGTATGGGGAGTGTCGGGACGGGGCAGAGGCCGAAGCAATGCCAAGGACAGAACTCAGGCCCCTGCATGTGTGAGACTTGGGCTGTCTCCCCAGCCTTTCACACACACTTGATCAAAGGAATGACAATAACCCAGGTCCAATATGAAGAGCAAGTATTTGAACTCACACTTGAAAAAGAAAAAAATCATTAATCTCAGCATTGGCTCAACACAGACAAAGAAGCTGAGCCAGGGGGCTGGAGCGATAGCACAGCGGGTAGGGCATTTGCCTTGCACGCGGCCAACCCGGGTTTGATTCCCAGCATCCCATATGGTCCCCGGAGCACCGCCAGGAGTAATTCCTGAGTGCAGAGCCAGGAGTAACCCCTGAGCGTTGCCGGGTGTGACCCAAAAAGCAAAAAAAGAGGGCTGAGCCAGAGAGACCAGGGGGCTGAGCAAGCTTTTTGCGTGGGTTTACATGGTCCTCAAGCACTGCTGGGAGCTACCCCTGGCACAAAGCCTGGGATAGTTCCTGCCTGACACCATCAGGTATGACCACGGCCGCCCCCCCCCAAAAAAAGGTGTTCAATTCCTAGCATGTAACCCCCCCCCAAAAAAAAGAAGTGGGGAGCTGTGAAAAGCTGCTGCTGACCCCGAGCACGTTATTCCTTTGTTAGCCAGGTTTGTAGTTGCATTCTGGATTTGGCAAAGGCTGACATCGGCACTGACACAGAACTCCAGAGTTGTCACAGGCTGCAAATACATGGAAACTCACATATGCCGTGTCTCTTGCGTGGTTCGACTTTCCTGGGGACCACAGCCCCTGACCTTGGTGTGAGCCATTAAGCTGCCCCGGGAGGTAAGGCGCTGGGCTGTTTCGCAAGCGGGTGGGTGCCTGGTGGTCCTCGCTCTGTCGTGGAAATGAGGGACGTGTGCCCTGTCTCCATTCCCGTGGCAGGACGGGTGCATGTGGTTATTGCTCTGTGACCCCCCCACCTCTCATCCCAGACCCTCTGACCAGTGGTCACTGAACCACGGACGGGACACAGAGCTCAGGAGTGCACAGGGGGATTGGGGAGCAGCTGGGAGGGAGGGCGGTTCCAACCTTGGGGGATGTCTTTGTGGGCAGTCAAAACCAAAGCTGAGTGAGGAGGACCCCAGAGTCCCCCAGAGCCTGGAGGGTGGTGGCTAAGGGCAGCCCCTCCATCAGCCCGACCGGGCTTGTTCCCCAAGACAGGGGGGTGAATGAAAGTTGAGTCCCTGAAGACCCCACCTGTACCTCACCACCACCCAGTTAACACCAGATGGTAGCAGCAAGGCACCTCAGAATTCTGAAAATGGCCTTTTATTTTAAGTCTTGATTTGGCTGTGTGGGGGGAAGGGGTGGACCGGTGGTGGTGGGGAGGCTGGGGCCACACCCAGCAGTGCTCAGGGCTTCCTCCTGGCTCTGCACTCAGGTATCACTCCTGGCTGTGCTCGGGGCACCATACAGGGTGCGAGGGATAGAACCTGGGTTGGCCACATGCAAGGCAAGCGCCTTACCCATTGTCCTATCACTCCGGCCCCTAAGACTTGATTTTCTTGCCATGATTTTCCACCGCGTCTTCCATGATGGTGTCGTCTTCCTCCACGGTAACCAGGACCTTCTTGCCCACCAGGCTGAAGATGTCTTCAGGGGGGTAGCCTTTAGGCTCACCCACCTTCACGGTGAGCATGTCCAGGGTTAGAATGGTGCCTTCCGGAATTTTCACTTTGGCCACCACCGACTTGCCCAGCTGTGGACAAGACCCAAAGACTCAGTGACTGCCCCACACTGGTGGCTGGTGCTTGCTGCTCTTTTCCCGAGGCCCCCGACCAGCCTGCACGACCAGCCTGCACGGGGTGTCGTGGGGCTGGGGGCAGGGCTGCTCTCCCCGCTGCCTGAGTGGTGAGGTCAGCCCACAGTTCTGGGGGGACCTGCGTACTGATGAGCAGAGCAGAGGGCTAAGTCCAAATCCCTGTCAGCCAGGCACAAGCTGGCTCCAGATAAAGGGCAATGACAGTGGACCTCGTCAGCCAGCTGCCCGGGACCTTACCGGAAGCTCTCCCTCCACCAAGAGTGAGCGACCTTTGTCATCTAATTTCAACAAGCGAGATGGTGTTCTGGGCCTGGGGAGGCTGAGAGCCGAGCATTTGTCACAGCATGTGTTCTGGGCCTGAGCCTTGAGGGGCATGTATCAGGGAGATGAGGGCTCAGGGGCTACTGAGCGTATGGCGGATGGGGGCTCCCAGGAAGGGCGAGGGGAATGGTCAGACCTGTAGCTGTACCCAGTGTTCCTAACAATTCTGCGAAGCCATCGCCTACACCACTGTCCCTCCATGTGGGGGGCTGAGGAACCTCTTCCACTTCCACTTCCAATCCAGAGCCCGGACCCAATCACTGCCAGGCCAGCAGGTCACCCTTCACTTGGGCAGCCCGAGGCGCCAACCCGATGAAGTGCTCACTGCAGCAAGGACGCTTTCCGGTTTGAGGTTGGCTGCTTCCCTTTCCTCTCTCGGGTCGTTTGTTCCTCATGCTTTTCTTAGGAGGAGGTGGGTTTTGGGGCCATACCTGGCCGTGCTCGGGGTTTACTCCTGGCTTGGGGGGCCCTATGGGGTGCCGGGGATCAAATAAGGGTCATCTGCATACAAGGCAAGTGCCCTGAAGCCCTGTCCTGTCTCCCTGGCCCTCCCACTCACTGGTTTCTCCTCCGGGTGAGCTGGGTGTGCATCTTTCATGGGTGATCAGCTGCATAAAGGGATGGGGACACACTTGAATAAAAGATGACAACACAGTCATGCATACCAAGCCTCTAATATTTGCCTCTACCGAAAAACTGACAAGGGGAGCCACCTGCACCCCACCAGCCCCGGGCACCTGGCTCTCTGCCTCAGAGGCAAGACAGGTCCGGGCCCCTGTCTCCCAGTTCTGTGGTCAGTGTGTGGCAGTTTTCCTCGGTCATCTATCTCGAAGGTCAGTGCCACCAGTAATGTTGCTGAGCTAATGCCAGCCCCATCCTCCACCAACCATGGGCAGCCACAGAACCTTCCAGAACCGTTGCTGCTGCAGGGACACTGCTGCATCACAGGTCTTTCTCCCACTGCTTGATGGGAATCCCTCTATCCAAACATCTCTCAAGGCTTCATTACTCCAGGGGACCCCAGATTCAGGCAGCCTTCACCTTCCCGCTGCCTTTCCCAGCGAGAAGACCCTGGCAGCCATCGGCCTTGGGGACATGGCGGGAAACGTCACCTGCTCCTCAGAAACCATTAAAGTTCCCTCCCCAGACACAGCAGACTGGCACAGCATGCTCTCACCATTCCTGCCACATGCCCAGGCTCAGGTTGGTACTGGTTCTGCCTGCCAGGGGACCATCAGGATGAGGTGCCCCCCCTCCCTGCCCGCAGTAGGACTGGCGGAACCCACCTTCTCATTGCAGGCCATCTCGCAGGGCAGCAGCTGCTTGGTCGGAGAGCCCAGGGCCCTCTCAACGAGGCGCACAGACCGCACCAGCTCCGCCAGCTCCCCGGGCTCCAGGGAGGCCGAGTGGTCACTGCCCTTCCAGGTCTTGTCCAGAGTCACGTGCCGCTCTAACACCTTGGCTCCCAGAGCCACGGCGGCCACTGAGATGGCGATGCCCGTTTCGTGCCCGGAGTACCCAATGGGGATGTCAGGGAAGAGCTTCTGATACTCCTTTAAAATGGGGGGAAGGGAGGAAAGAGAAAGAGGTTAGAGGCTGTGCTCTGTGTGTACCACCCAGAGTCAGGGAGAGCCAAACACCAGGCTCCCCTGTGGGACCAAAGGCAATCCTTGGGCCCTTGGGCCACTCTCCCCCGCCTTCCCCCCCCAGGACTGGAGATGCTGGAAAGTACTCAGCATACTGCCCACACTGCCAGTGCTCCCCAGTAATGCCTGCTCTGATCAAGAATGCGCTTGAGGAATGTCCCATGGTGCCAGGAATTGTCCCTGAACTCCAACCAAAGGCGTAAATGCATCCAAACAGCCTTCGGTCACATTTAATTAGCCCAAGCTGTTGAAAATTGTGCTGTGTGCAAATATTATCATCAATAATACAGACCGCCCAATCTCACCACAATCCTTTGGTCGGAAATGCTAAATAATTAACCAGTGATCTAGAATTCACTGGGTGAAAGAAAGGGCCTTCTAAGCCTTGTGAGCCATGCGGGGGAGCGTGGACAGAAAGTTTAGGGAAGAGCAGAAAGCCCCAGATGGGGGTTCACAGAGAGACCAGGACAGAGACTGGTTTCGGGGGCATGATGACGGAGGGTGTGCTGGCCACAGGGCAAAGAAGTCGGCTGTGGAACCTGCTGGAATATGGGCTGGCATAATCACTCTTGAGTGGGAGATGTGGGCCCTGAGAGGTGCAGAAGGGAAGGGGGTCGAGGCTCCACAGAGAAAGAATCAGAGGAAGGACCTGGGGTCCCCACACAACTATTAATCACGGCACTCTTGGGCCAAGGGAGGGGTTACAGAGGAATTCACTTTTATTTTATTTTTGTGTGTGTGTAAAGCAAGGTGCATTTTATTGGGATTTATTTATAAAGCTACAAGAGAGAGGGCGGGAATGCGATAGTACAGCAGGTAGGGCATTTGCCTTGCACGCAGCCAACCCAGGTTCAATCTCTGGAATCCCTTACGGGCTCCCAGGTACCACCAGGAGTAATTTCTGTGCACGGAGCCAGGAGTAAACGCTGAGCACTGCTGGTGTGGCCCAAAAGCCAAAACAAACAAACAAAAGATATGAGGGGAGAGGAAAGGGAGAAGCACATATTCGAGAGTACAGGCTTCTACAGAGTGGAAACAGGCAAGCAAAGAAACATCAGGACCAGCACTGAGGTGCGTATTCCAGGGAGGCTTGAGGAGCGAGCCCAGACAAGTTCCCTTTCTGTGTTCGATAATTTAGAGCTGCTTGAGTTTCTAAAAACCATGTCTAATAAAAAGCATGCTTAATGGTTTTAAATAACATGATTTAGTGATGAGCAGGCAACAGAGCAGAGGCTGCCAGAACTAAGAGGGGAAGTCTCAATTAAAAGGGCGCGTGGAAGGGCTGGAGTGACAGCACAGTGGGTAGGGCGTTTGCCTTGCACGCGGCCAACCCAGGTTCGATTCCCAGCATCCCATCTTATCCTCTGAGCATCGCCCAGGAGTAATTCCTGAGTGCAGAGCCAGGAGTAACCCCTGTGCTTTGCCAGGTGTGAACCAAAAAGCAAAAATAATAATAAATAAATAAATAAACAAAAGGGCACGTGGGGCTGGTGAGACAGCACAGTCGGTTGGGCATTTTCCCTGCATATGGACGACCCAGGTTCAATTCCCGAGGCATCCCCTACAATATCCCTAACACCACCAGGAGCAATTTCTGAGTGTAAAGCCAGGACTAAGTTTGGGGCATAACTGGGTGTGCCCCCCAAACCAAAACAAATACAATTCTGTATTCAGGGCTGGACAGACAGTACAGTGGGTAGGGCTCTTGCCTTGCATGCGACCGACCTGAGTTCAATCCCCAGCACCCCTTGTGGTCCCCTGAGCCCTGCCAAGAGTGATCCCTGAGGGATGGAAGTGACAGTACAGCTGATAGGGCACTTGCCTTGCATGTGACCAACCTGAATTTGATCCCCTGCATCTCATATTTGATCCCCTGCATCCCACCAAGCACTTCCAGGAGTAATTCCTGAGTACAAAGGTGGGGGTAACCTCTTAACACCACCAGGTGTGGTCCCCAAAACAAACAAACAAACAAAAAAAACCAAAAGCAAAACAAAAAATGATCTTAAAAAATAAAAGAATGATTCCCTGAAATAAAGCCAGGTGGATTGCTGTGTGTATCCCAAAAAACAAAACATAAAAAAAAATAATAAAATTCTGTGTTAAATATTAAACTCATACAGTAAAATGCACAAAAATCTAATTCCACTCACCTCTTTTGCTCTACCATTCACTCAGAATAGTAAACTTTCTGATGTTGTTTTGAAAACGGTATTTTGCATAATTAAAAATGTGATTGCTGGGGCCAGAGCGATAGTACAGTGGGTAGGGCGTCTGCCCTGCACGCCGCAGACCCAGGTTCGATCCAAGGCATCCCAAATGATCCCCCAAGCACCGCCAGGAGTGATTCCTGAGTGCAGAGTCAGAGGTAACCCCTGAGCATTGCTGAGTGTGACCCAAAAAGAAAAAAAAATGAGATTGCCTTTTTGATCTTGTTTTTGGGGCCACACCGATGGTGTTGAGGGCTTACTTGTGTCACCTTGGACCATATGCAGTACCAGAGAGCAAATTGGGGCTGGCTGCATGCAAAGCATATGCCTTAACCCCTGTAACTATGGTTTCCCTCCCCGGAAACCCCTGCCCCCCCCCCCTCTCTATATATATATGCACTGTCACTGTCACTGTCCTCCCGTTGTTCATCGATTTTCTCGAGCGGGCCCAGTAACATCTCCAGTGTGAGACTTTGTTGTTACTGTGTTTGGCATATCGAATACATCACGGGGAGCTTGCCAGGCTCTGCCGTGCGGGCGAGATACTCTCGGTAGCTTGCCGGGCTCTCCAAGAGGGGCGGAGGAATTGAACACGGGTCGGCCATGTTGGCTGCGTGCAAGGCAAACGCCCTACCGCTGTGCTATCGCTCCAGCCCCATATATATACATATAGATAGATAGATATAGATATTCTCTATCTCTTCATATATGTACATATATATTATCTCCATATATGAATTCTTTCTATGCATGTGCATATGTGTGTGTGTGTGTGTTTGTGAGAGAGAGAGAGAGAGAGAGAGAGAGAGAGAGAGAGAGAAAGAGACATCTATACAGGTAATTACTATGGACTCCTTACTTTTGTACTAGGAGAAGTAAGATGGGTTGCAGACGTTTCCTTTATAAAGGCCCTCTGCAGCATGCTCCCTTAGCTATACCACGGTCCTGATTTGATACTGTGAGAGTAAGACTTTCCAGCCCACATGCTCAGATTCAAAGCACATCAAAACTGGCTACAGATCTAGTCACGAAGCAGGTTGCACCTGGGCTGGCCCACGCTTTAGCTCCAAAGGAGAGAGTCCGTGCCCCACAGCCATATCCCGCGGCCCCTTCGGTTTCCTAAGCATCAACAAGCCCAGGCAGCATGTGGCCTCCAAACCTGGCTGACCCACACTCAACCCCCAGGGGAGAGTGCCCTGGGCAGCCGCACCGTCCCGGCCACTCACCGAGATGACCCGCAGATTGACATCCTCCGGCGGGAGCGGGTAGGCACTGGTGCACTGGAGGAAGCAGAAGTTGGGGTTCAGGGGCTTCACAATCTGGTAGACTTGCTTCATGGTGTCCATGGACTGCATGCCGCTGGAGATGACCATGGGGCGGCCTGCGGAGCCCAACCCTGTGCATCAGTGCTGCCTCGGTGGGGGCTGACCCGGGCAGCTGAGCTGAGTGAGTGGCTCTCAAAGCAGGGCTTCAGGGGTCAGTGATAGTACAATGGGTAGGGCGTTTGCCTTGCATGCGGCCGACCTGGGTTCGATTCCCAGCATCCCATATGGTCCCCCGAGCACTGGCAGGTGTAATTCCTGAGTGCAGAGCCAGGAGTAACCCCTGTGCATCGCTGGGTGTGACCCAAAAAGAAGAAAAAAAGAAAGAAAAGAAAACAGCTTCAGCGCTTGGGCAGGAGGGGAAGGGGGAGGAGCAGGCATTGACTGGGGGTGGGGCACACAGTGAGTGGCTGTATCTCAGACTGTGCCTCCAGTGCAGCCCGCAGCTGCCGCCTCCCAGACAAAAGCAGGAGGCGTCACAGTCGACCGGTCAGAGGGGGCCTGCTGGGGGGCGGGAAGGTCGCTGTGAGCCACCAGCACCAGCGGGCACCTTGTAAAACCACCTTACAAACTGGGGTGTGCAGATGCTGGGTACTCTACTCTGTCCATCTTTAATATGCTGAGCAGAGCGAATAAGATCATTGTTATACCATACAGAATATTTCTCAAAAGTCACAGCTTCCAAAGAGTCTACTCCAGACTCGTCTATGTGATTTATCTCATCTTTTATTTTTTTTTTAACTAAAAATTTTTTGGTGGGTCCATTTTCCACCACCACGGGTCCTAGTACCTCACGGTGTTTCACTAACAAAAATTAAAAAAAAAAAAGTAAATGATGGAGAATGTGCACTGATGGAGGGATGGGCACTGGATCATTGTATAACTGAAACCCAAGCACAAAAATTTGTAAGTTTACAACTATACCTCATGGGGTTTCACTAATAGTAAGTAAGTAAAGGCCCTCCCGTTGATCGTCGATTTGCTCGAGCGGGCCCAGTAACGTCTCCATTGGAGACTTTGTTGTTACTGTGTCTGGCATATCGAATACTCTTGGTAGCTTGCCGGGCTCTCTGAGAGGGGTGGAGGAATCGAACTCGGGTAGGCCATGTTGGCCGCTTGTAAGGCGAACGCCCTACCACTGTGCTATCGCTCCAGCCCACAGTTTCACTAATAAAAATTTTAAAAATAATTTTCTTTTTGGTGGGTCTAGGAAGATGGTTCAAAGGGCCAGAATACATGCTCTGCAGGTGCAAGAGGGGGGAGTGGGGGTCCAGATTCCACCCCCAGTCCTGCACCCCCATTCCACCCCACTCCTCCTGAGCACCAGCAGGAGTAACCCCTGAGTACTTACCCCAGTAAGGCTGGGTATGGCTGGGTATGGCTCAAAATCCACAACAAAAATTTCTTACAAGGTAGGCCAAAGAGATAGTCTAGCAGGTAGGGCGTAGGGCATTGGCCTTGCATGTGGCAGACCTGGGTCTGATCGAGTGTTTCTGAGTGTAGAGCCAGGAGTAAGCTCTGAACACTGCTGGGTGTGGCCTCCAAACAAACACAATTCTTACACGGTGCTGGGGATGTTTGTGGCTATGTGCCTAGCACAGATAAGGCTCTGGATTCCATCCCTAATGCTCCCCTACATTTCCCCCCCAGTTTTTCAGCCACATCCAACTGTGCTCAGGGATCACTCCTGGAGGTACGCGGGGGACCATACATAGTGACAGGGATAGAACCCAGCTCAGCTCTGTGCCAGATGTCCCACCCACTGTTCTCTATCTCTAGTCCGACCAGAAAATCCTTATAAAAACCATCTGTCCTTTATCTCATTCCTTTTGAGTACCTGAGGAAGTGTATGCGCACTCAATGTGTGCTGAGTGGGAAAAGGTTCCTAAAGTCTGTTTTCATAAGACTCCTTTAGTTGCTACAGAAGTAAAAACGATGAAAGTTTGGACTCTCATCTGAGGGCAGAAATGCAGCACTCACCTTTCTTGGCCGTCTTCTCCAGATAAGGAAAATTGTTAGTGTCCCCAGATCCAACTTTGAAAAATGGAACGTTCAGTTCATGCAGAAACTCAACCGCCATCTACGGAAATCAGAGAAGAAACTCTTTCTCACCTTTGCTCAAGAACACAGCTCCTCAAACAGACAAACCCACAGGGAGGCACTCGGACATCTTGAGGGGGCCAGAGTGATAGTACAGCAGGTGACAGAGCATCTGCCTTGTATGCAGCCGACCGGAGCTTGATCCCCAGCATCCCACAGAGTCCCCCAAGTATCACCAGAAGTAATTCCTACACACAGAGCCAGAAAGAACTCTTGACCACTGCTAGGTGTGGTCCAAAACAACAACAACAACAACAACAACAACAACAACAACAAAAGCATCTTGAAAGCAGACGATCATCTCACCCAGATTCAGACGTTCTGTCTTTAGTACCCACCTACCCACCTGCGCATTTGTGCGCGTTTGTACAAAGATACACGTAGACAGGAACATGTACCCCCACAGCCCTGGGCCAGGGCAAAAGTACAGCGGGGAGGACGCTCGGCTTGCTCTCGGCCCACCCAGGTCCGGTCCCTGACACCCCCCATGATCTTTGAGCCCTGCCAGAAGTGATCCCTGAGTGCAGAGCCAGAAGAAACCTCTGAGCACTACCAGGTGTGCTCCCCACTCCCCCTGAAAAAAATAAAAGAAATCACAGTCCGGGCTAGCCAGCCTTTCCTGGGGTACTAGCACCACACAATAACATCACGGGGGATGGGAGCGATAGTACAGCGGGTAGGATGTTTGCCTAGCATGCGGCCGACCCAAGTTCGATCCCCGGCATCCCTTATGGTCCCCTGAGCACCGCCAGGAGTAATTCCTGAGTGCAGAGCCAGGAGTAACCCCTAAGTTTCGCTGGGTATGACCCAAAAAGAAAAACAAAAAACATCACGAGCTGACTTTTTTTTCTTTTGGGGTCACACCCAGCGATGCTCAGGGGTTACTCCTGGCTCTGCACTCAGGAATCACTCCTGGCGGTGCTCAAGGGATCACATGGGATGCTGGGGATCGACCCTGGGTCAGCCGTATGCAAGGCAAACACCCTCCTCGTTGTACTATTGCTCCGGCCCCACGAAGCTCATCTTAACCCAGAAAGACAGGCAGTGAGAAAAGGAACATGGCCCCGCTGCCTGACCCTGTACTCTGGGCCAGGCAGCGTGGAAAGAAACCACCTCAGGCCTTGCCCTGAGTAGACACACATAGTGCAGCATGGCCAGCCCGACACCCTGACCACAGTCGGGAAGACCCGCAAGTCAAGCCCTCTCAGACCCCAGAGGGTTGCCCACAGGAAAAAAGCAAACCTCAGTTCCTGTTTGAGGGGACTCTAGGGGCCCTCTCCCCGTTAGCTGGGATTCACGGGCCCCCCTCAGGATAGTGGCCCATGATAGCCAATCGCAGCGGAAGGAATGGAGGGAGTGGCAGACATGTAAGAGTAAAATCTTGTGGGGCCAGAATGATAACACAGTGGGTCCAGCAGTTGCCTTGCATGAGGCTGGCCCAGGTTCACTCCCTGGCATCCCCTATGGTCCCTCCTGCCTCACAGGAGTGATCCCTGAGCGCCGAGCCAGGAGTGAGGCCTGAGCAAAGCCCGGTGTGGCCCCCAAACAAGCAAAAACAGAATAAAACCGTGGAGCCGGGAGCGACAGTACCTGTGGGGCACTTGTCCTACACACAGCCAGCTCGGGTTCAATCCTCAGCACCCTACATGGTTCTGAGCCCTCCAGAAGTGATCGCTGAGCACAGAGCCAGGAGTAAGCCCTAAGCACACCAGGTGTGGTCCAAAAACAGGAAGAAAAAAAAGAAAGAAAAGAAATCTGTTTGCTGTCGAATTATAAAAACTCCCCAAACCTTTCACTCCATTCATTCATTTTATGGTGCCGGGGATGGAACCGAGGGCCTCACACGTGCACAGCAAGTGGAAGTTGAAAAGTGAGAAGTGGGGCGCCCCCTAGGGACAGCTCAGTGGCCGTGGGGGAGCCTGAATTGGAGTGGACGGTGGGAGTGCCAGGTCCCAGTCACTCCCTTTGGGCCTGGCACCTCAGCTGTCTCCAATGCCCGCACTGCAGCTGGGACTGGGTGAGCACCACAGCTGAGAGGGGCGTGACCCCTGAAGAAGGCGTGCGAGCATCCCGTCGAAGTGGGACCACAGTGAGCGCCTGCATGAGAATTCAGTGACACCTCACCCCCACGGGCACTGCGGCCGACTGTGGGAGCCTCGGAGCCTGACACACTGCCCCTGTGAGCCTTACACACGTGGCAGCAAGAATGCAGGGGAAGGAGGGGGAAATGATAAAAGTAAAGATTATAAAAGAAACGGGGGGGCCAGGGACACAGCTTAACGTCAGTGCACAGACTTGCAAATGTGAAGTCCTGCCTGGAGTCGATTGCTGACATCACGCATGAGTAAGTAAGCATGCGCACGTACACACACACACACACACACACACACACACACACACACACACACACACAGTCATACGATCAAAAGTGGGTAGAACTGAGGTCATGAAATATCAATTATTTCAGAAATAAGTCTGAAGACCGGATGAGCTCAGGCAGTCTCCTCCCAATAAACTGGGCGCACGAACCTCGAGGGGCTCTTGCTCTAGTGAGGTGCAAACTCTGATTCCGTCGGGGCCCGAGAGTCTGTACTTGGTAAATCCGTCCCAGAATCACCCCCCAAGTGGCTACCTGGCCAGGCCTGAAACTCCAGCGGGCAGGGTGCGAAGGAAAAGGATGGGAAGACCCTTCTGTCTGCTGCCTCGAAATCAACTTGCTTCTGGGGCCGGAGCAATAGTTCAGGGGGTAAGGAACTTGCCTTGCATGTGGGCAACCCAGGTTCAGTCCCTGGAACCGCCCCCCCAACCCCAAAATGCCCTGAGCCTGGCAGGAGTGATTCCTGAGGGCAGAGCCACAAGCAAGCACTGAGGAGGAGGTGGGAGGGGGCATGGCTCCCCCCAAACAAATCAGCTTGCTTCTGCCTGAAGGTCCCTATGTTGCCCGAAGGCCAGGCGAGAAGTCACTCCAGTCATGTGGCTGTACTGAGAATGGCCTCCCTTGTGGCAAACCCTAATGACTGGCCTGAGAGCGGCTTTTCAGCAGGTGGAAGGCAACTCGCATCCCTGCTGGGACCGGAAAGGGACAGGCTTCCCACGTCCTCCTGGTGAACCAGCCCCACCTTGTGGCCACCTAGACAACTGCCATCTGGATGCAGCTACGAAAGAATCCAGAGCCTTCCATCCTGGGTGGAAGCACCAGGACAGCAGGACAGCGGGTAAGGTCACTTGTCTGTGCACCTGGCTGACCCCCAGCACCACATATGGTCCCCCAAGGCCTGCCAGGAGTAAATTCTGAGTTCCCCTGAGTGTGTAAGGCAGAAAAAAAATAAAAAGACGAGGGGCCTGAGCGATAGTATAGCAGCGGGGGAGGGCGTTTGCATGGCACGCAGCCAACCCGGGTTCAATCCCCAACATCTCATATGGTTCCCCGAGCACTGCCAGGAGTACCGCTGGGTGTGACCCAAAAAGAAAAAAACAAAGACAAAATCATGCCACTTGCGGGGCTGGAGCAATAGTACAGCGGGTAGGGGCATTTGCCTTGCATGTGGCCGACCTAGGTTCGATTCCCAGCATCTCATATGCTCCCTGAGCACCTCCAGGAGTAATTCCCGAGTGCACGAGCCAGGAGTAACTCCTGAGCATCGCCGGGTGTGACCCAAAAAGCAAAACAAAAAAAAAATCACACCACTTGCTGCAAGTTGGATGGAATTGGAGGGCTTTGCGATCAATGCAGTTGAGTCAGAGGGAGGACAAATGCTACCTGATCCCCTTCATGCTATCTCTCTGCTATTGAGGGGACTGGAAGGTTTCTGATGCTAATAAACACCTGGCCCTGGATTACAGAACTGCAAATGCCAAGTGAGGGGTCGAGGGTTGGTAGAAACAATGACAGGAAGTAATCGAAGGACAGTGGCGGAGGATCTTGGGTGCTCTGGCGGTGGGGAGGAGACCGGGCACATCAAAACCAGAACCATGAACATTATGGCAAACACCTGACCCAAACTATAATAATTTTTTTTTAAAGTTTGCCAAGTGGGTGGGGTGGGGATGGGAACGGACGTTGAGACACTGGCGGTGGGTGTGGAGTTGGAACTTTGTGTACCTGAAATTATTATTGACAGAGCTGCAGGCAGATAGAGGCCCTGGCAAGGTGGATCAAAAGAAAAATCACCGTGTCTCCGAGCCAAAGCAGCCCAAAGGTATGCACGGAGGCCTGGGAAACACAGAAACCCACTGAGAAGGCCAGAGACCTTTTGAGGGGCAGAAGTGTCACCCTGGGCATCGGCCGCACCGAGAGAAACTTCTGAAGCCACCAACAGCAGGTGATGGCTGACCTGCGTCCCATCCCTGGCACCACCAGGAATGACCCCTAAACACAGAACTAGGAGCAAGCCCTGAGCATTGCCAAGTGTGGCTCCCTCCCTTTCCCCCCAAGAAAGGCCACACTGAAGATATCAAAGACCTTCGACAGTTTCACGCTCTCCCCTTGATAATTTTATTAACAGAGAGAGGCCCATGGAGAGGGGGAGGGCTTCAGCAAACACTACACGTCAGCAGCAAACACAGGCATCCCTCTCTAGGGGCTCATCCACACCTCACACCTCAGCTTAGGCAGGGACATCCTCAGTCAGGGGGACCCGCCTGCACCCCTGCTGTTCCCCTAGAGACGTGTACTTCCGATGCCCCCCTGGAGTGTGTCTCATCCCCTCTTCCTCTGTCTTTCCTGGTTTGGTTTGGGTTTGGAGGCACACCTGGTAGTGCTCATGGATCACTCCTGGCGGGTTCGAGGAGACCAAGGGACGGAATCAGGTCAGACACGTGCAGCACAAGCACCCTACCAGCTGTGTGTCTTCATGATTCATCTCTTCCTGCAAGTCTCTGCTGCGAGGGCAGGTGATGAGCCCTCGTCACCTGGGTGGAGGCAAGGACTGACCTGCCTGTCCTTCACTCACACTTGAACTCCTGTGGTGGGGACTCACT